TATATATATATATCACCTGCATGGAACAAATCATGTCACATGCAGCACAACATATCAGAAATTACTTACTTGTCATCATAGAAGGCATCCTGACACAATCGATATGTTGGTAACAGCAGTAAATGTCAATTAGGGAACATCTCAGGGTCCACCAGAATGCTGGGGAGAGGGATGTCTGGGTTTCTGTCCTGGACCCGTTTCCTCCTCTACCCGGCTACTTATAAGTGGCAGAAGATTGAGTTTCTGCCACACACACAGTTTATTTTTTAAATTGTTTATTACTTAGATTATCTAATATAAATTTAAAGCACATATCTGCAACTTCCCACGACTTTTTCTATAATTTGGATTTTTATTAAAATGATAATGGGCCACAATTTATAAGTGTGTTTTACAGACGGCTGGAGTTCTTTATAAGACATGAAGCAATAAATGACTTTGTAGATTAAAATTTAACTGCGGGTATTTTTTTTATGTGAGACTGACATTGAAAACATGTTAAAACAAAAAAATATATATTATGCTTATCTGGAGCTGTGTGGAAAAAAATAACTCCATCTTCAACACATTATCACCCTGTAGCAAAAAAATAAAATAAAATAAAATAAAATGGTCACAATGTGAGCAGAATTTTTAGAGGTTGTGTTTAGTTTTTTCACCATCACAACATGTATCTACAAGTTTCTACTTGTGGGAACTTAAAATTCACATTTTTATTTAGCACTCTGACAGGAGAGCAGATGTTGCGTTTTAAATAATAAATGCATCAGAAGAGGAGATCAGTGATGTCTAATCAAAAACAGAAGTTGTATTAGCAGGTCAAAGCTATAAAACAAAACAAGGCAAAACAAGAAAAACTAATGGAATTTTTAAATAAAAATAGCTGTAATCGTGTTACGATCAATAGATCGCTCCCAGGAGGGCCGTAGGAAAAGTAAAACACCTCCAGAAATGCTCTGATGGTGCCGAGTTTGAAGATGATAAAAAACTAAATATAGTCCTATTGATATTTGTAACAAAAATGTTGAGTGTAAGATACAATAAGTGATTGACAGCCTTAATTATGTTGTGTAAAATGTGATAACTAATGAGTGACACACCACCACTGGAGGGTTGATATCAGTGCTCAGAGAGCTGACAGCTGCAGAACAGAACGTTTCTTTTACATATTTTACTCTTCCCAGCCAGATGTGGTGGTAAATATGGACTAAACTGGAGGTTAGGTTTCAAAAAGAGTGGAAAAACTAAGTATTTACACTTTAAAATGTAGGTATTTTTATTGAATGACATGACAGAAGGTGACAGATAAAGCAACAAACAGAGCTTTTAGTCAGTGTCCCTTGTATGAGTGACCAACGTCACAGGCTGATGATGAAGGGATCGACCTTCGTCATGTAGGCTGGTTTCAGGTACTGCTGCAGCTCGCTCTTCTTCAGCCAAAGCAAAGCAGCGTTTGGATCTTTGGCCAGAGTTCTGTCTTCCAGGATAGCTTTGAAGAAGAACACCTTGCTCCCGACTAAGCTCTCGGTCCGAGCAGCTCTGGGCAGTTTGTACTTGTAGACCCCGCAGGGAGCGTTGCTGAGAAACGTCACCTTGAAGCCATCTGCAGCAGGAAAGAGAAACAGGTCTAAAGTTCAATCAGGAGGAGGCGAAAAGGTTGAAGCAAAGATGCAGCATTTGTCAGGTGGCTGTTTTCTGTCCCGCTCTTGGGTTAATATCTGACTGCTTTAATTAAAAGGCGCTACAGCGTTCCTGCTCCATCCTCTGCGATGACAACACACTTTTTAATCTAATCTCATGTCGAGCAAATCCCTGTGAACCCAGCTGGCTCAACAAAACAGTGAAGCACCAACGTCCAGCTCCCACTGAGTACAGCTATATTAAAAATGGATCAACTGGCTCTTCTGAAAGACACTTTAAATAAAACCTTCCTTCAAACGCTATWTGTTAATGTCAAGCAGAAAGCTTTAAAAAGGAAAGTGATTGATAGAGCAAGCAAGTAATAAGTTTATGATTAATGAAATAATCTAATATAAACTGTCACGCGGTGTTTTATTTAAAACACCACAGCRTAGCTTTAGGACGGTCCATCCAACTGGATGCAAAGAATTTAGCAATTTGTGCTTAATCTCTGCTACATGAGGGATTTTACAGACTTATAAATAGATGCATCCAAAACTTTCAATTCATTACCTAAATATTACATAAATCATAATAACTTCATATGTTATTAATAAGACATCATTTCCAGTTCAGGAAACTGWACCTTAATTTGTTGTTTAAATGGACATTTTGAGTGAACGTGTAGAAATAATCCCCGTTTGAGCTGCAGTCAGAAGCAGGGAGGAGGGGAKTTGTGGCAAATATTTTATATACAACTCTGTTGTGGTTTGAAAAAAAAAAAGGGTCATGTTTTTGATTTTTGCATCATAAAGTCTGTTTTATAAAAAACTGGTAAATATGAACCATACTACACAGTAAACRTAATGAAGTTTTGTAGTTAAAAAAACCAAATTCTGCACAATTATCATATTTACTTGAGATAATTAGTTACAATTGTGTGTTGCTAATTTGAACAACCGTCTTCTTTAAACTGCATGCAAACATCAGTGTAAAACATTGTCTTATGTTTACCAATTCCATTAAATTAATTATCATAAC